AAAGCTGATAGCAATCCCTAGCAACTGTCCATCGTGATGGTACACAAAATCTAGGACATGCAACTGACATGCAATGCCTAGATCCTTCCGACTCTACAAATCTAAATGGCAACTCATTTAGAATGATCATTTTAGCTACAGTTTTTCTAACAGCATCTTGATTAAATTTCCAAGTGCCTAAAGATTCCATTCCTCCTAATGGCAACACCAATTCTGTTTGAATACCATCATCCCCACTAACACGAGGAAGCTTTTTACAAGAATTCATGTGATTCTTTAAAGCGGTGGTTTCATTCTTTTTAGGATAAGCAAAAAATTCTTTGTCACAATAATTACACCTAGCTTTACGATTACCTTTCTCATTAACAAATTTAGTAAAGTGGTCCCATATCTCTGACCATGGCTTAGATGCTCGTCTCATCACTTTGGAATTTGCAGTTTCACTTTTTGTTACCTTATCATATGCAAGAAGTTGAGAGGCCAATTGTGTTTGATTAGTTGTGGAATTCAAAATCATATCATTCACTTCATTTGACATCTTCAAAAAAAAAAAGTAAGTGATCAAATTATATCCAAATAATAAAAAATAAATAATTAAATTATATTAAAATAATAAATAAAAATAAAATTATATTCAAATAATGAAAAAATAATAAAGTAATATTCACACAATTATTGAACACATTGGATATTCAAATAATGAAATAGTTTGTTAATCAAACTATATATTAGTTGCTTATTTTATCAACAAACAATGTAAGTGTCTAGCATAGTTTAGGCTAATTTATTTTAACTTTTAATTTAAGTATCTAGCATAATTTAGATTAATTAGTTGCTAGATCTAGTAAGAAAGTTAAAACTTAAAAGTGCTAGATCTCTGACAATAGATTTCTTTAAAATCTTTATTCCCGAATAGTTGTGTTTTAAACTTATTTCTCGATGTATACATCCAGTTTTTACACACTCTACTTCAAGGTGTAAATCACTTAAACTATTTCTATCTTTCGCTTGTGAGTTGTGGGACCATCCTCGAATCGTCTTAGTCCACATCATTACCATGTTGCCATACCAATATTTTTTAACATTGAACAGAACACTTCTTCTTCAACTTCAATGTAAAAGCTTTACTCTTAAGAAATGAATCAAGATGCAAGCAAAAAGCATTACAGTTACCTAGCTTAGCTTGAAAAAGATCACTCGAAGGATATGCCTTTGTATTAAGCAAAGAAAGACCTTGGAATACCAACAAGTCATCAGCTTATTTGACAAAGAAAATTTGGCTGGTAAAATCATTTATATTGGTTCGAGAGAGGGAGGAGTTCATTCACCATTTCACAAGGGGATTCGCAAAGCAGAAGTCATTAACCTGAAACCCTAGCAATTTCAGGGTCTGCTAGACCCGTGTACCGAACAAAGATGTAGCCTGTAGGAGATGCGACAATTCTGTTCCAGTCTATGACAGCACTACAGCTAGCACAACTACGAGCTAAGGCACAGAAACAGTACCAACGGGAGCGAAGCAAGTCGAAACTGGTAGAAACTGTTATTGAAAATCTTGCTCCCTTCATTTTTATAAGTTAAAGTGCTTTCCTCGACTAAAAGGAGTATTTTCACAGCTTGCTACAGATACTGTAAATCCAGCGTGGGGTGTGGAAGGTTTTGACTTTTGATCCTTTTGTTCCAGAACCTAGTCAATCAACTGAAGGAGTAAACAAGCCATTGAAAGTCCTAGACCTATTCCTTCCAGGCTAGAGATAGGGTCCATCTATTGAATCACTCTAAACAACAAAAGGTACTGAAAAATACTAGCAAAAAAAACATTACTGTGGGCATACCCTGGAGCTGAGGTTTGGTCGTTTGGGTTATGCTTTAACTTAAAACATATAGGAAGAATACAGCTCTAAACATCACGCTAAAAGAAAAAATAAAGGTTATTAAGATTTAAGAACTTACGATGGCGTCTTGGGCAGATTGATCTCTACAACTGTCTGATCTTGTGTAGCAAATTAGAGGGAGCAAGAGATTATGAGGCAAGTAGCCAAGCAAGAGAGTAAGAGGGAGGCAAAGATGCAGGAGATTGAAGGAGAGCAAACTGCAAAGGGCAGAGACACAGTAAGCTACAACAGAGGAGGAGCAAAGAGCAGAAAGGGAAACTGGCGTGGGTGGATGAGTTAAAAAAGGTAAGTTAAATTTAGGTTTTTTTTAAGAGAATTTACATACTTACCCTCAGTTATTATAAGATCGGTTAATTCGGTTAATTCAATTATCAATTTTAAAAATCGATAACCGACCGATTTAACTAATTTAATCGATCTTAAAATCGATTACAACCAAAAACCGATTAAATCGAACCGAAATGACCATATTTCATAATTTCAGTCGGTTAAATCGATTAGAATCAATATATGCTCACCCCTATATATTTGGGCTTTAAATGGAAATGATCGAATTATATGTAGAAGTCAAACAAACTCAAATTAACCGAACAAAATTAAATGTTGACAATTGGTTCATAAAATAACTCATTATTAGAGTAGAAAACAAACATTAGATTATCAAAAGCACAAGGTTGTTGTGATTCCTAACTTTTAAAATAATTCTGTACATAAAAATCTTATGTACGAATTTTTTACATATTCTGAAACCATTAAATGAGATGTATCCGGGTGGACTTTTCGTTTAATCAAACTTCTCCAATCTCATTTAGAGAACTTTGATCTTGGCGTTCATGAAGTTTTGTGGTTTGGCCTTGCAATAAGGACACGCAGATAATGTAATTCATCCACGATATGACAGATCTTAATTGCAAATTGAAATATACATGCCACGAAAAACAACCCTGGATCATCAGACATCGTCAAGCCCTCCCACTTTTCACTTTTTCAAGTTGTTTTTCCTGGCAATGCAAATTGAAGAAGATTACAGAAGAACATGGATGTTACTGGTGTCCTAGCTATGTAGGAATTCTATAATGGGTGATGCGGAATTCATCTTCAGGTCTACGAGGTGGATGAGTCTTGTTCCTCAAGTCTCAACTGCAGGTACTTATTGTATTGGAATCCTCTGTACTTAGGATGCTCTCCAATGTCTTCTGTGAACTGTGGCAGTGGTTCAACCCAATTCTCGCCGTGCAAGTTGTAGAAGAAGACAACTGAGTACCGGCTTCTCCCTTTAGGCCTCACCACTCTATGAGTTGCGCTCTTGAATTTGTTGTTGCTCAATACCTTACCATGATCAAAATAATCAAACGGATTCATTTTTGAAATGTTAATAGTATAATTGAATTTATACAAAAGCTGAAAAACTGAGTAAACAGAGAAGAAAAGACATCGAAAAGGAAAAGTAATGTTGTACCTGAAGAACATCGCTTCTGTTGACCACTAATATGGCCGGTAGAGGGATTACAGGAATCCATTCCCCGTCCTTGCAGACTTCTAGACCACCAACCTCGTCCTGGGACACGGAGTTGATGCAATTGGAATCTTCATGTTCTGTTAATCCATTGTTATCAGTTTCAGTAGCTGGGAAGTAACGAAGTGCTACCATGAAATCCCAGCTCCTATCATGATTGAATTCTCTGAGGAAATTGGAAGGGAGACCCAAGCACCGATTAACAATGCTCTCTACAAGCGTACCTGTTTTTTTCAAGTTGGAGAAAACATATTCTAAAACTTACCTACCAAAATCGATTAATCAAATGATTTATCAATATTTGTTCAATATTGCCTCTCTTTAGCTTTTTTTTTTTTTTTTGCAGAGTACTGATTGAAAGATAGTATATGTTTGTAACCAAGATAAGCATTGAGATAAAAAAAAAAATACTTGAATTCAGGTGGGTTATCAGGGAAAACATTGAAGCTAGACCCTGGTGGAAACATCAATGAAAACTCGTTCTTGTCAGGTGAGTGTTAGGCTGCGTGTTGTATCCTGCAGGAAGAGGAGCATCTAACGTTGGACTACTTTTTGAGTTTCTCTTCTGCTGAATACTCAAAAGAAAATCCTGGAAAGCTTAGGCGCCCGTTGCAGCAAGCGTATGGGCACGCCATGGTTGGCAATTTGGAAGAAACCATACTCGGAGCAGGCCTTGGTAATGACTTCCATGGCCTTCCTCTTGCCATCCTCATCATCTTCGCCAAAAAAAGGTGAGAGATCTACGGTAGGAATGAGGGGATCAGCCATTCCAAGTTTTATTCCAACTCGCTTGAAAGTCTTTGAAGTTAGAACCCAAGACCTGCCATGTTTTTTTTTTTTAATATACAAGTTCAACCATTCAAGTAACTACAATTCTTTCCTTGCCACTTCTGTAATGATCCACCACCGTCTTTTCAAGTTCTGTCTTGATGCAAGTTGAATAGACACCTTTTTCCTTCAACAAGATGATTGAAAGAGAGTTGCTACCAACTAATTAATTTTAAGGGAAAACCTCTTAAGTAATTTTTTTTGTTCTTTTTTTTTAGCAAGGTGGAGGAAGGAAGAAGCTATCACTATTTTCTCTTGATAAAAGTTTGGACATCAATCATTACTTACTGCGGCAGATTGGAGGGTCGCCTATGATCGCCAATTTTACTTCCATTGTTGATTCTGATAAGAAATCAGATAAAATACATACAGATGATAGAGGATTTTGCTTGCCTTATTTGCAGTTTGCTTTAGGCTGAGCTCGCCCGATGGTTCCCTTGGCCCATAAAAACCGCTAAGGCTAATGCACATACTGATATTAGCAGTGGCAGACATCAATTCTATGTTCATGGAACATGAGCATTAACTTTCAAGATGCGTTGGTGATATAAAGACAAACTCGTACTAAAGAGTCATGGCAGAACTAGTTAGGCAAAAATATCAGCTATATGGATTAACGTCAATTCCACTATATCATTTCCTATAACAAAGTTAATCACAAACAAACTTCAAATTTTTTTTATTAAAAAAATCATAATTTGAGAATAAATAAAAAGTTTACATATACTGAAATTTAAATTCCAAATATGTTAAATACCATCTATTAAAAGTGATTTCATATACCAACTAAATTAAACAGAACTACAGATAAAAAGCCAGCATTCCAATATCATGTAGAAACTTTCATGTTACCCACAGTGAGGAAACCAGAAACAAAAACATAGAAAAGAGATCAAACGGGTAAAAGCGGGATAGGTAAAAAGAAATGAGTCAGAGCTACACTGACAATAACGCCAATTGCTTATATAGCAGAGAAAGCTATCTTAAAGATGGTTATCCTCCCCATAACCGCACTTAGTGAAGACTGCGAGACAACTTTACACAAGTTCTTACTGAAGCAAGGCAAGCAACTACCATAATTAAGCCCATAAGTGATTTTAGTCATCACCATCATCATCATCATCATCATCATCGTCATCCTCGTCGTCTTGATCATCATCATCGTCAGAGTCATCATCATTTTTTCCCTGTCAATGGACATATATAAGATAACAAGATAATGAGAAATTATTGTCTGTAATTTAACAGAGTTCAACAAAATTCTATCTGTTAAAGCAATGAATAGGGCTAAATGGTAATAACACCATTGAAGAGTGCTTGCTGGCAAAATTTTAAAGAAACTTGAGACAATCAGAAAGAATGATGTCTATGTAGTATTAAAAAAAAAAAAAATCCATCTGACATAAGAATGTGCATGTAAATGATCTAACTATATAATGCATTACCATGATGACTACATAAATATACAAAATTTTGTCAGTCTCTGATATCTTGGCCATCTTTAAACAGAATAGATAATTAAGCCATTAGCATTTGACCACGATGTTGTTATGTCTGACAAATTTAAAAAATTTCAAAAGCAGTTACAAATTCCAATAGAGCTATTACCTAGACTGTGACCCAGATGAATGTATTCCCTAAGAATAAAGAGAAAATGCATCTAAGACTTTCTCAAACCACAACATTTCCATTATTGAAATTTCAGCCTCATTCACCCACTTTCCTCTATACCACTAAATAAAGGACTTCACTGATCAATATACCAAACCATAAATATCATCATTCAGAAACCTGAATCTTTAATTTGGTCAATGATCATTCACCTCATATCAACTAATCTTTCTCTACATGAAATGTATTCCAAACAATTACCTTATGCATCTCAAATTATATTATCAGACACGTGCCACCGGAAATCTCAGAGTGCTTCTTCTCCAATATAAGATTGTAACCATGTTCAATTGGGTAAAGAGTTCTAGAGCTAAACTGATCCGAGACATAATCTAAAAGGCATGCATACATAACAAGATCAACATATCCAATCCCACTGATTTGGGCCGATGGGATAAAACCCCTGCCCAATATTGGTTTATGAAGCACTCGAGTATAATTAGGCCAAAACATAGAAGACAATGTTTTGAGATGTAGAAACATGAACCTAGCTCCTATCACCATCTTGTTTCGCTTCTCCAGATTTAATATGGCAAACATTGGCATGCTGTTATATTTACATAATCCAATTGGTTAATTCCACATTACTTTAGCACAATCGGTAAAAGAATTTTTATCAAAAGAAACCAGCACCTTATAGCATCCACTACATTGTAGAGGAGTACTCTGGGTTGACATAATGCTATTATAAAGACGAGAATCATAATTTACAACATAAACTAAATCGTCTTCAGTAACTATGTAGCATATCATTATTAGAATAACCAGTTAAGACTAAATAAGTAACCACACAATGCATGAAAAGTCCAACTGCAGGTCCAACAAGCAAATTCATACAGCAAGCTCTAGCAAGTATAACTCACACAAATGTCAGCATAATTTAAAACCACCCCAGCAAAAGGAAATGAGCAATTAAATCCTCATCACCATATATTTGAAGTAAAATGATTCAATCCTTTCCAACCATTTGATAAACCCTAGTTATTGCTGTCCATATTCACATTTTTTGTTATTACCAAAACCTGATTCAATTGATAAATTCATATTTTAACAGCAAGAAAAACTCTGGTAAATATACTTCCCCCCAAACATATATTGAACAAAAATGGAACAAACTACTCAATCTTTGGTGAAAAACAAACAAAACAAATGTTAAAATAAAGACCACAAAACCTACAGCCGTGCAAATTTGAACTGAAAAGAATATAAAAAAAAAAAAAGAAATATAGTAAAAATGGTACACAAAAAGGATGTATTAAGTTTTTCAAAGAAAAAAAACCAAAAAAATGTACCTCTTCATCCCCTTCATCGCCATCAAAGTCCTCTTCATCAGCCTCCTGCATCAAGGAAGTGACCAATAAAAATTAGCAAAGGAAGCAAAACATGATGTCAAACAACAGGTATATAACAAAAGCAAGGGAAGAAGCCAATAGAAAAAGAAGTTACATTGTTGAAATAAGTGAGAGGATTGGGCCATAAATCCTCCTTGATAATCTCTGCTACCTGTAATGTTTATCAAGTGAAAGTTTAAACCAGCTCTGTTAGAAAATGAGTAAAAAAAACTAAACTGCAGATAGATAGTACATTCATAGAGAATTTACCTCATCATGAATTTCATCCATCTCATCTTTCTGCTGAGCATCAGTAAACCAGGTAAAGAAGCTGCACACATTTGTGAATCAAATTTAGCACAATACAGAGCTGATTTGCAGCGTAATTGAGAGTGAGAAATGAAGAATCAAATACAAGACAAAGGATTAAATGGATGCAAACTTTAAAACACAGCAAATGAGTAGCAAATTAAAGTTATAACGCAACTTATAAGAAAACACTAAGTATGCATAAATACATAGCATCTATAAGAACACTATACAATATTTGCCAATAAATCACAGTAAATAAAGCTTTACCAGAGCAACTAGACCAGTACTAAATAGTACATAGTGCATGTATAAATGTAAATTGTCTACACTAAAAAGGAAACTCAATCTGTCAAGGTTTGCCTCAATAAAAAAGAAGGATGATGGCTCATAGAATAAAAGAAATTCTTATAAAATGCTAGTCTAAAATACAAGAAAATTATTAAAAATATTGAGAAAATGGTAACAAATTGACTACATTTCACAACCTGAAGACATTAAAATAATCTAATCTCAAGTTTTATGTTACTGAAGTCCTAAGACTTAGAGAAAATTGATTGACAGATACAACAAACAAACCTTTCTTCAGCAAATTGCCGCTTGTTTCCTTTTTTCTCATGATTAACTCCATTTGGCAAGCCCTTCACATTTAAGGAAAGTAATTTAATATGGTATCCAAGGAAAACAGATAACATGAAGATGAATAGCCATCAAAAGAGGAGAAACCCTCACCATGCCCTCTTTCCACTTGATTTGGGTGGCTGTAATTTTGGTTCCTTCATCAAGGAAGGTAAACGTCTTCGTAAGTTTTGTATCTTCAAAATACGGATTGGAATTGAAGTTCTGAAAAATTATAATAGAAGTCAGTCAACAAAAAATTAGGACAGATTATAGCATGAATTATGTTTCTTCTACCAGCAGTTGAGTGCAAGAAAAAGAAAGCAAGAGCAATTTCAATTGCCTACAAAATAAGGTAAGAACAAGAACATGGATGAACTTACAAATGTAATAGAGTATCCAGATTTCAGATCTTTAAAATCCTCCACTTCAAGCGAGCTAATATGCTTGAATATCTACCAAGTAATAATAATTAAAAAGATGAAGAAACAAGAAAGCATTTAGCTAAAATTAAATACCAGGCAAACATCCAGAAATATCTTTAAAAAATAAAACCAAAAATCAATTTTGGGAAGTAAAATAAGCACAGAATGAATAATTTCACTTTGGGAAATAAGTGACATTAAACCTTGTGATCCTCTTCAGTCAAAAGTTCACCAAGAGCAGGATGACTCAAGAACTGCAAGTGAAAAATACAGCCCCATTTAAAACATTCTTCTTAACATGTAGACAACTCTTAAAAAAAGGTCCAGTATATTAATAGGAAAGAATAGAATCACTTACAGCTGTTAACCAGAAATCAGGAATCGAATTGATGATCTCATTCCGCTTATCATAGACCGGCTTGCGAATCTCATTGTATTTCTGCTCCACTTCCAAGACTTTCTCACTCGCCTCCTCATTGATCTACAACAAGCCAAAAAGGAACAAAAAAATTAAATATAGAAACGTCATGCGTAACGATTTACCACTTCACTGATAAACTTGTAAGCAAACATATCCACATTAAAGGGAGCTTCTAAATACACCCAAAAATCTTCTATATACACCCCACAAATTTCTTTCCAAAAATATTTACATACCAAATACCAAATTTAGCCTGAAATAAATGACGAAAATACCCTCATACTCTCATACACTCCATACCTCCTTCTTCGTCCTCTTTTCCTTTTCTTTGTTCTTCTTCTTCCTCTTTCATCCCTTTTTCTCATATACTAAACCCTAAATCTTTAAAATTAAAACTAAAATTTTGAAATCGAGCTTCCAAGAAGCTTTAGAGTTTCTTGGAAATAGATTTTTGAGAAGCTCAAAGGCTTATTAGAAATGGATTTCTGAGAAGTCTTTAAACTTATGGATTTCTAAGAAGTTTTAAGGCTTATCGGAAATGAATTTCCTAGAAGCCTTTAAGCTTTTGGATTTTCAAGAAGCTTTAAGGCTTCTCAGAAATCCTTATCCAAGAAGCTCAATTTCACCTAAATCCTTTCATAAACCGTAACTTATATTCAAATGCATTTTAATCAAATTTCAACCAAATCAATCAAAAACAAGCTAGAGATCTTACTTTTAATCAGTGTAAAACTCAAAAACACAAGTGATTTGAGGTAAGTTTGATGGATTTAAAGTTCTTTTTTGGATTAAAAATGAAGAGAGAAGAAGAGAGAATGAAAGAGTGAAAGGGTAGGAAGGGAAAATAGAAAAATGGAGTGCAGGGTTTATCTAGTAGACATAGGAAATTTAAGTTTGAATTTGGGGTGTATTTAGTAGCGGGGTGTATAGTGCAAAAATGGGGGTGCAAATAGAATTCCCCCACCTTAACCCTTCGAGGAAATAAGACATGATACCCTAAAGTAACCTCCCAAAAAATAAAACATGTTAACTGAAGCAACAGGTCACTTAGACACACGGAAGAGAACAATTAAAGTAATTAATCTTTCTACAATAATTCATATATATCCAGCATATAAATGACATTCGAAGCCTATCAGGTACAGAAATTAAAAATCAACATTATAACACCTTCTCCGCAATAAGACATAATAACCTAAAGTAACCTCCCTAAAGAAATTTTCCTGAATTTTTCTCATAAACCCTAAAAAAGCAAAAAAAAAAAAAAAAACAGGAAATCAGCGATAAATGCATGCTATATAAATGGAAGTAAAATGCAAATAAAAATGGACCTTCTCAAGCTCGTCTTGGACCTCTTGAAACCTCTCGATGGAAAGGACGAGGTCTCCATCGATTTGTTCAGAGTTCTCTTCCTCTCCTTTCTCTGGTACTTTCATCTTTTTTCGTTTGTCCGCCACCATTTTTTTCTTTCTTAAACCAAACAAAAAATAAAATAAAACCCTAACACTAAAAAATTCTGCCTCTTCCCTCTCACTTTTGCTCCCTTCTCTCTGTTTTATCCTCTCTCTAAAACCCTAATTTTTTCTCCCTTGGTATCGACAAGGGAGAAAAGTGAGAGAGTGAGTGGAAGGGCAAAATGCTAGGGTTTTGGGAGTTTATATCTGCTATGTTGGGGATATTTTGGGATATACAAATGGATCAATCACAATCTGAAAGCTGGACTTATTGGTATTATAGTCATTTGATTTTGAGTTATAGGGGTATTATGGGTACTTCTTGGATGGATTCCTTATTCTTATGTTTGGACACAGAGTCTTCTAACTGCTAAAGTGCTTCACCCCCGGGCTAAGGTTGACATTAGATATTTTTACATTTTTAGCATTAAAATTCGAAAAATCTTTAAAAAAAAAAAAATGTTATTTTGAATTACAGTGGCTAAAAAAAAAACAATAAAATTTCCTTATTCTAATTAATTAGTTTCTTAAAAATTAATTTTTATTTTTCTTATCATAATTATTGTTACGTCTCTACCATTTAAAATTAATTTTCTAAAAGAATGTTTTAATTTTGTCTACAATCAAATTCGAAATAGAGAGTAAAATATTTTCTTTTTTTTTTTTTAAATTGCAAACTATGTTGCACACAAAATATACTCGTAGCAATTATGTTTTGACTCGACGATTTTATTTGTTTTATTAAATATGTTAATACAAAAATTATTGGATTTTCTTTATTAATATTAATAGTTTTTAAATTTTAGAGTTTTATCTTCAATATTTTATTCTTTAAAAAAATAAATATTGATAAGAAAAAAGAGATCCTTACTTATAAAATCAGAATTCAATCCTTTAGATGTAAAGTTGTTTTTCTCTCAACATCAACACTTGATAAGTTTTTTTTTTTTTTTAATTCAATGATTTTACCTTTTTAATAGACATTAAGATCCTACATTGAAATTAATATTTTTCTTATGTTTTCTCTAATACAAAATACATAAAAATAAGTTTAAAAAATATTAAAATAAATCAAATTTTTACAAAACTGAGAATATTGTTTTGTAATATTTTGAAGATGAGTTTTTTTTTTTTTTTTTTCTTTGCCAAGGTTTTGAAGATGAGCTTAAAATTACCATTTACCCTTTCGAATTAGCAAAAATCTTAGGTATATCAACTTAGAAATTTGCTTCCAAATGGTCCATTCGTTACTGAAAGCATAATGGCCGATATGGAGTTTTTGTACCAACAAGAAATTGTACATCGTAAGCCCAAACTAACACCTCATGATGGGCTCTGTTCCATTTTAGTTCCAAGGGTCCAATTTGAATTTGAAATCTACCTAAAGCATTTTTGTAATTTGAAAAGTTTTCAACCTTTTTACAAACGTGGTCCTATCTAAACTAGCAGTTATATGTAGTGTAAAAAAAAAAAACTAGGAGTAATTTGCAATTCGTTTTAGATTTAATTATTAACAATCCGATCCGGTGATGTGACCCTAATTTTCAAAATCGAAATTTTCGTTGAGAAAAAATATGCTACCAACTGCTGGATTTGGTCTTTAAAAAGTGCTACCGACTTGACAATTATGGAAGCAATAAGTGTAGATGGATAGGGTTGAGTAGATATTTCCGAATCAAATCGGGTTAGATTTGGACTGAACTTAAACATTATTGTAATAAATTTTAGGTTTGACTAAATTTGTTTGTACTTAAATATGAATCTAGTTTTGTTATTCATGTTTGATCTATTTTTAAAATAAGCTGCTCAAGTTTGTTTATACTTTAATTTACAAAAATAAAAAATTTTATAGTTAGTATTAATTATGAAAAAAATTAATAATTAATAAAATAAAATAATAAATGACTTTAAGAATTTAATTTGATGCTTGAATGAAATTGACATATATATAGATATTAATCTAAAGACATATATTATTTAATTATATATTTATTTTTATGTAATAATTATAAATATAAAAAATATATAAAAATTATTTGAGCCAAATATAAACTTTAAATGTCATGCTCAAGACTTAATCCATTTTTTAAACAAGCCTAAAATTCAAATGTATACTTATTTATTAAGTTTAAAATTTAAATCTAAATTCTATAAAATTAGAGACGAATTTTTTAAATTTTGGTAGATAGTCCACCTTTAAATAAGTTTAAAGTTAAGTGAAATCAAGTTCAATTAATATATTTAAAGTTTTGTTCAAGATCCAATTGATTTGTTATAAAAATTCATTTAGATATGTTATTATTTAAAATAATAAAAACTATTTATATAGTTAGATTTTAATTTTTAAAAAATATTTTAAAATTAAATTTAGATATAAAATAATTTTTTATTAATAAAAAATAATTGCAGATCGAATCAATCGAGATTAGATGCAAACTTCATGGAAACCCGACATGAACAGGTTTAGTAAGAAGCAAAGTAATTTATAGTAGTCAAAGATTTTTTAAGTGACCAAAATGTTTAGCATATGACTTTTCCCAACAAAATTTTTTTCAAAAGGGTAAAATGAGCATATAAACAATACCTATATTTTGAATAGTGATTGTATCAAGTTTTGACTTCAGGGACAAAATCTTAAAATTATAAAGAAAAAATAAAACAATTAAAAGTAAAAATAAAAAGTGTTTTATGTAATAAATAATATATAAATAACTTTATTTATAAGAGAAAATGAGAGGTTTATTAAATATAATAATGATATAATCGAATTGATATAATGTTATATAAATCAAATCAATTTAAAAATAAAAAATATTCTTAATTATACAATTTGACGGTGATTTTAAATCCAAACAAACCATAATTAGTTGTTATCAAATTGCAAATATAATTTTTATTAGATGTTGATTTATTTCTTAATGAACAAAAACGGTGAAATTAATGGTGAGGAACCGTGGATTATTAAAAAAAATGGTGTGGATTATTGAATAGATACTATTGTTTTAGAATTTATGATTATAAGTGCAAAAACCAATTTCAGTACGATAAAATCATATGGTTTCACACCAATTTCAATATGATAAAACCGTGTGGTTTCACATGGTTTGTTGTCCCCAGGTTTGTATATCTCCTTCAGTAATAATTCCATTAGTTATGCTTCCTTTTCAGGTGCAATTAGTGGGGTCAATCTTTATGGTTCACAAAAACTATTTATGTCTTTCAGTTTGTATTTTGTCCAAGACATTCCTACAAAATGTTATAGCCTTCAATCCATTTTATCTTGTTTTGCCTCGCCAACATACCTTTCTCAGTGTTTTTCTTTCTGGGTTTATGCTGATGTTAGAATTAGATAACAACAGTGGGGTTTTTTTTTTTTCTTTTAAATGGTTCAAGTGGTGCAGGGTTCATGAATCTCATTTCTTACGCTCAATAATCATTGATCATTGGATATGTTTTTTTTTTTTTTAAAGAGGTCGAAATGTGGATAGGAGAAGAGATTATAGTTATTGGGATTTGAGTTTCAAAGTTGTTGAATGTCAAGCTGTATAAATCAACTTAATTAAATCTCAAATTTTAATATGCCTCTTTTGGATATGTACCCTTGAACCAGAAATGATTGCCTGTTCTAAGTGGACCATGACAACTATTTGTATTTCAGCGTCTAACGATTTGAAATTTAATACCATTGAATCATATTGGTCCCTTCACAACATTCCATTGCCAACCTGTGGCTTAATTTATTAGATTTATAAACAACTATTAGAATTTTCTTGATAATTCTGATTTAATGTTGATCTTTTAAGATTGGATGTCATGGAAAACCTCTCCTTTCCCTCTTTCATTTGCATTTTATGGTGTAGCATTCCCTCTTCATCACATCATGCACTTAAGTCATGACTTCAGAATTCTAACATCTATTTGTTCCTTTCTGGGTGAGTTTTTCAAGGTGCAGTCACATAATGTATGTTTTATGCATTATAAAAATAAAAAAAATTTAAAAAAAAAAGAAAAAAGAAGACTTTAATAAGTTTGTCAAACATGAGATATCAAATTAAAAATTTAATTCAGTTAGTTTATGCACATAGTCACTGTTAAGAGGTGATATCCAATAAGTTTGGATTTTGAATTTCAGCATCAGTAATTCTTTACCCTATCCCTAGGCAGTGTTTTACTTTGTAGCAAAAACAAAAGATATCTTTAATGTATGTAACATCTGTAACATATATAGTATCTCAGTTTTATGTGTATATAGTTTTTGGGTTGAAGTGGATGTTAAGTTGTGTAATTATTAGCAGTTTTGCAAAACAAATTTGTTTAATGTCTTTAATGTCAGTCCGATTCTAGTATGTTGCAAACTAAAAGCTCATATTCCTTCATATGTTTGCAGTTCATATGTCTTTCTCAGTTTGCCAGGTTGATTTTCACCATTAGACCTCAAGTCAACAAGCACAGAGATTTTGCTGTTATGACCTGATTATTTTATTTTATTATCTGATAGGATTTTCCAAATCAAGAAGGGATTGTGTTTACTAGATTCCCTACCTAGTTTCTATTAGATGAAAGGGAGAGAAGAGAGCATGGGATCCACTCCAACATCAACCTTTAATTTTAAGATGGTTATGGAATTTATTGTAGCTACCCAACTTACTTCAGCATCTATATCTGTATGACTGCCTGTCATCAGTTGAACATGTCATTGTGGGCAACATTCATAGTAGTTTCCATCATTAAATTATAACACCATTGAAACTTTCAGCTTTCCATTAAACCCAATGGGAAAGGAGAAATTTGATGCCACAATTTTCGAACTTGTGGCGCTTTGTCATCCTATTGTTTGCATTTCCATCTGTAACATCACTACTTGAAAGCTGGATTATCCATCTTTCAAACAATTAAAATACTGGATAAGACTAATTATATTTTTTCCTAATTACTACAAGTAAACGTAAAATTTATCTCAGTTGATTCTTTTAGTTTTTCTTAAGATGTGACATCCAATAAATTTAAAGTTTAAATTTTAGCACCTGCAATCCCTTTTTTTATCCTAAGGTACAGCCTCCTTTGTAAAAATAAAAAAAAATACAAGCAAAACAAAGAAATACAAGATCTTGTCGTTGAGGTCCTATATTTCAAGATGGCACATATGGATTGCATTGTTTATAATTCAATGCCACTTTTCTGAAGCATGTGTCTTCAAGTTTTAGGATCTTAAGTTTTGGAATAGGGGAATAAAAGCCAAACCAAAGTTCTATGCTTGTAGGCTCTTAAGTGAGGCAAAGATGGCTTGTTAAAAGCAACTTCACTTGAAAGTTGGAAAGAAGCTCCAAAACATGAATGTCCCTCCAGTTGAAAATCAAGAGAACAAGAATAAAACTTGAACTAATGAATAAAGATAATTGATTAGACAAGTGTGGTCAGGTATATGTGGTCTATTAACCCTCTTTTGGGTCCAATTGCCTAGACAAATTCAGATTCTCCTTTTATGTTTTCAGGCTGTTGTGCATTTTAGTGACAAACTATATGGATCATTGTGCTAAATTTTCTAGAGAGAAAATCAGTACTTAAAAGGCATACAGAAAAACAATACAGCAAAGGTGAAATTTATACATGTAATATTTTGGAGAAATTACATAATTAAGAGAAAATTTTATGTCAAATAGGAAAGTTTTCAGCTATCTTCTTCCATAATCATCTTTGATTTACCCATGCCCTGCTGCATAGGCAGAGGCAGTAATGCATGTGCTAAAAAGTAGAAGAGAAACAGTGAGTTTCCTCATGGAAAAAGCCTTGTTAAGCTTATGGGAAATCAAGATCTTTTACCTTAATATCAGCTTGTAAGAGTCTTGCTGGCATGGCGGTGACTGATTTTGGAAGCTGGTGCAGGTGAGAAGGCTGCTTTGTGACTAATCTCATCTCTTCTGTATGTAGTTTCAGCAACCATGACTGCTTTGTGACTCGTGCACCCCAATATCCCACCTGATCGGCTTCTTTGTGCCTCTTTGTCTGGTAAAACTTTGGCGTTGGCCATTCTACTGGCTGTTTTTGATCCCGGAGCTCTAATATTTTCTTCTGATTTCTTTTCATCATAATCTGAAACAAATGAGTAGTCCGCTGCACTGGCAGTGACAACACTCCATTCAATGCTGGTCTCGCTTGGTGCATATGGGGTCATGCAGCTAGACATGCCATCAGATGCTTGCCTTGTGAGCATGGCCTGACCACAGCCGGATATGTTATCTATCTCAAAGAGATCTGAGCTAGCATCACTCTCAATATCATCCACTACCTGGTTGCTTCTGGAAATAGATGAAATGGTTGGGGCATTTGGAATGGCATCCCAAGTTAACATGGACAGTTTCCTCTCCATGTTCTTGGCTATGTCTCCCTTCTTCATCGCAGTGGAGCCAAACACTTCAAGGGAATTTCGTGGATCATCCCATTCTGTTTTAACTGTCACATTTTGAAGTCCAGGTTTCACTGGTGGTCCAAAGTACACTTCTCTTTTTGATTCCACGCTCATCTGATCAAAACTCTGGTTGTCAAACTCATCTTTCACCTGAAATTTTGCTTGAGGCAGCTTCCTTCTATCCATAATGATAGGCCTGTGGTTGATTTGAATGTGTTCTTTTCTGTAATCCTTTCCATGAACCCTTCCATGATCAACATTTTGATTGACATAAACAGATTTCCCATCTGAACAAGACCCGCCGCAGCTAAGACTGGAGAAAAAGCTCCTTCCATCTGCCTTCTTTTGCTTGTTTTCAGATCGGTTCCTCATAAAACTTCGTAACAGAACAGTTTGGCTGTTCCAGCTTGCTTCAGAACTTGCACTTGGAGTGCCAGGCCAGCGCCTTGGAGTCATCTGATGCAGATTAATTTGGTTTTTAATCTTAAGACTCTGCTTATTTGAATACTTGTCATCAAGCCTGGGACCATCATCATCCAGCGTCATGTTGAAGTATTTTTCAGCACCAAAGACACTGATTTCACCCTCTTCGGTCTTATTTCTTTCTAAGCGTGCAGGAGCGTGAATTCCTACAGTTGGAGCAATGGCAGGATAGGGATGCTGAATTGCAGGTTCTGCAATCTTATGCACAGAAATCTCTTCTGCTGTGCCAAGATAAGAAGAAAATGAGACCTCGCCGAGACTGGTGTTCTTCCTCTTCTCACCATCCATTATCTGTAACCTGCAGGTACAGGAAGATGTCTTGGAAGTTTTGAGGAACTCTATACGCAAGTTTATAGGAAAAAACAGTTAAACAGACACATAAAAAGAACTACAGGACACAGAATTGGTTCCGTTAAGAATTTTTTGATTCGAGGAAGGACTGGAGATCACTGGGCCTCTTGGGAAGTAGAATTATGTATATGTAGACTTCTAGGGATGCAACTTTCCAAGTTTTGATGAGGCCCTTCTTGCCTGGGGCTGCTTGATTGACAATACATCACCTTTTCTCACTAGATGTACTTGTAGTTTTCTTTTTCCAACCAATTTCATGCTATGGGGAATTACCTTCATTACTATTTCAACATTGTGCACGTATATTGAATACTGTTTTCGTCTTCAGTCTGCTTTCTATATGGAAGGTGTGGCGACAAGTGGCACATGGCTGGAGTTTAAGGTCTCTACCATCTATTGGACCAAAGCTGGCCGATGGAATGACAAGAGCTCAAATCAATCTGAATAGAACTCTAAGTTGTTGCTTCATTCATGCCGTTTTTTGGTTTAAGAGGTCCAACAATGCGAATGATTGTTTGCTACATGATTGTATATTTACTAAGTAACCCCCCAATTCAAGAATTTAAAGTTGTACTCTTCCTAAATCTATGTTCAAAGTACATAGGTTTCAAACTCTTACTAATAAGTCATACTATTAAAGAGCTATGAATCTAAAAACCGGCTAACATGGAAAGTTGTATAGTAGCTCTCAGACAGCAGACTTTGCTTTTTTTTGTTCATCTGAAAATGTTTGCTTTACTGCTGACTGAAAATGGTGACGGTAGTTAGCGTCATGGACAAAATAATAGATTAGACTTAAAAATTTTAAATACGTAAGGAGGATGATATGATACGAAAATAATATAAAAAATATATAATTTAAAATTAATAAAAAAATTTATTTTTTGTATGATATGTCAATATGAATTATAACATTAAAATTTTTATATTTTATATATATTTAATATAAAATAAATACAATATAAATACATAAATTTTTTTTTATAAAACATATGATAAATTTATGTAATGCATAAAACAACAATACACAGCAGAATCATGAAATCAAATATCTTAAACCATCCAGAGCAGTAGTTGAAAAAGAATCATTATGGAGGGGGTGAATCCGAAGTTACCAATGTTCACAATAATTGGTAGCAAAAATGTCATAATCATTGTGGTCATCATCATCATCATTTCGTAAAGGAAACAGCTTTTATTTCTTTATAAATTGGTAATCACATTTTTTAAAAGTGAATAAAATTTTATTTTCTGCAAAAATATTCAAAAAGGAGAAAAAATAGAACAAAGAAAGAAAAATTAGGACCCTTTAAGAAGCAAGACCACTTCCTCTATGAAGAGACTGAACATTAAAAACCATAAGATAAATAATACTGGAGTTAAAAGAAAAAGGATATAATGGCAAAAAGATTATGCTTCTCTTTTTATTGTTAGGATTCGAATCCATCAAAAACTGTAAAAAGATAATTTTTTATGAATTCGCGAATTTCACGTAATTAACCTTACTTGACCGTTCTGGAAAAAAGAATTTACAACACCAAAAATCTCTTACCGATTGGATTAAAAAAAAAAATGAAAAAGAAAAAGGAATCTTCTCAGTCTAAGACAATGACACTGATATTTGTAACAACAATTCTTCCAAACATCTTTATCCTCATTCACTACATTGTTGTGCTAACGGATAAATGAGTTTCAGCCATCCGATCACTGCGGCCGAAATTCCTGCTCTAGGAATTGGGTTCAATTGTTCATCCTTACAAGAAATGGGTTCAATTATTGTACCATGGCAAAGCTACTTTCTCATTTCCTTGCAATTCAAGGCCATTTCTCGTGTCTCAAAAACTTTCCCTTGAGACCTTCCATCACTAAATGGAAATGTGGGAAGCAGGATTAAAAACTGAAAAGTGGCACCGACTAAACACTAAAGGTGCACCACTCCAAAAAGGTCCAGAGCAAAGCACGTTTTGACAAAATTCCTCTGTCATAATAAAACATAAATGTTCCAGAGAATTGACCAAAAACAGTAAACCCATATGAAAAAATATGATGGAAGAAAGAATATAAATCTGAAAATTGGTTAACAGTCCAGATTCAGACAAGCCTGAATGGAGTACAAAGAGATAAGGTATATTTGACCAGAGAAAACAATAAATGAGAATCAATAATATGGAGCTTTTTGAAAGAAGGTGATCTAATCTAAAACTCCTTTTCTGTTTTGAGAAGAACACAGACTAATCTATGACAGAGAATGCTGATGCTGGATCACAACCAGCTTGTTAATTGCTGAGATGCATATAGGTGTTGCCATCAGTTTCTTGAATTTACTAGAAATAATTGTATTTCAGGATAAGATCAGCCTAGAGGTTCCTCAGTTTACTAATTTGATCACTCCAAGGATGTTGTATCATTTTCACCAGCAACCCAGTACTTTTTTACTGCAAATAGTATCTTTTCTGAGACAAGAGGACCATCCTCATGATCTACCATTCTTGTATTCCATCTCATTAATCCCACAATTTTCTTTACCTTGTTTAGCACGTCAACTTGATCACGGATTATTACTGTCCCTTCAGGTCGTAAAATTCTATCCATCTCCAAAAGAATGTCTTCAGCTTTACATCTGCAACAGTAAAAACAAATATAAGATTCCACAGAAGTTAGAAGTAGTTCTGCTGCCACCAAAAGTGGTGCACATGTGCATGGATGAATTCAGTCTATTGAAAATCTGGACAAAACATGCTTTCTAGGCAAAGTAATTTAAAATTAATTGTATTCGAGGTGCCTTCCATTATATGCATATTCCAACTGCCGAGTTCTTCAATTGGTACTAAAAAGAATACCTTCATTCTCTATCAGAAACAGGTGAGGTCTAATGTTAGAGCGAAGACTTACATATTCTTGTACAAGCTGAAGATACTGTTTGCATGAATGAGGTCGTATGTCCTAGGATATGTGGAGAAAGCTTCACACCTGGCATAAAAACAGTGTAAGTTATCCAATAATGGAAACCATTACAAGCCAACAGCTGGGTGATCTGATGGTAGAGTGTTGGACTCTTAGTTCTTGTATTCAAGATTCAATCCTTGACGTCCTCAATTATCAAAAAAAAAAAAGGAAAACCATTACAAAAAAATATATGTCAAAGCTGTAGTAACTTGATTTAAACTTCAGTAAACCCTTTTTCGATTCCCAAATATTCCATAAAGAAATCAACACATAAACCAGGTAGGATGGAATAGTAGTTTAGATAGTGCAACATAACAAAAGTTGGATACGTTACAAAACAGTACCAGACTCAAGTAGGATCTGAGTTACAATGCCAGAAAGGCAAGGGGAAGACCAAAAATATAAGAACAAGTGGATTACCAAGGGAATAATTGCTTACATATTTTACTTAAAGCATGGAACTTATAGGCTCCGTTTAGTAGATGCTTTTTCTATTTGCATTTTGTTTTTTTGCAATAGAAAGTGAAAAAGTAAAAAATAAAAAATGAACTAAAGATAAAAGATAGATAGCAAAAAGTAAAAAACAAAAGCACCAAGCAAACGGAGCTATAGTTATATTTCATTTAAAGCATGGCACTTATGGGTATATTTCATTTGAAGCATGGCACATACTTCATTGAGAGTGTAAAACAAATCCCTATTGCCAGTTCTAAAGAGTTTAGACAAGAACCTTTTGAGTTGATACCTAAAAAACATATAATTGGACATGTAATAAGGTTTTCCATGTTAAGTTTAATGATTATTCGCATCAAGCAATCAAAAAAAAAAAAAAAGGGAAACATCACAGGAGGTACCAGTCATGATATATGCCAATCAATCCACGCTCATAAATAACCCCCAGTGTGTCTTTCTCAGCTATTGTTGGCATAACATTCATAACCCACAACTTTTGAGATTCAAGGGCAGCAGCAAAACTTCCTAGACCAGCATTCATGTCCATGATGTTGCGATACCTCCCTGAGTCAATGATGTTGCTAATACTCTTATAAGCTTTCACATGCTTCTTCCATAACCGCACATCCTTGTGATACATCTCAACAGATACGCCAGGGACAGATCCGCTAGATATTCTAAAAGGGACAGCATTAAGCCTCTCAGGAAACTGCTTCCAGTCTCCAACAGCAACTTCATCTGGCCCAGTTGTCTCAGGATAAGGTGTAGCACACACTTCCATTTTCTTGTACCTATGTTCCAGGAAAACAATACAAAGATTCTTCAAAATATGCAATGTAATTCCACTGTTCAAATAATTTTTTTTTTGATACTTCCCATTGCTTCATTTCCAAATTCACAAAGTGAACAAACTTTATGGCCCTGGATACAGGCAAGTGATGACTAGAAACTAAAAATGAAAGGCATAATAGGGAAAACCAGTATTACTGCCTTATATTACTATAACTTAGAAGAATAGCATGCAGCAATTGTGGAGAGTAACAAGCAGAGCACTAATAGTTGGTTCCATAGACTTTTGTGCTCAAATCATAGCAAGCTTTGACTTGCTGAAGTAAGAGCACGGTGCGTCTAACTTTTCCTGAAATTGTCATTTATGTTTTGCCAATAAGCATATTAATTTGTTTGAAGGAGAATGAGTAAATGGCATGAATAATATACCAGACATCATCTGGATTTCTTGATTCACATAAAGTAGGTTTTGTATCTTGCTGGTGGCATGAATCATAATTTGTTCTCTTCCTCCAAACAGAAATCTCACCCATCTCATGCTTCTTTTCCCAGCAAAGGAGTTTTGCAGTCTCTTCAATCTTCCTTTGTTCCTCCTCCAGTTCCTCTCTAGGGCGCTGCCATGCTTGGTAATTGTTCCTCCAGTTGATGGGAGGACCAGAAAGCACCCAGTAACCACCAGGTCTAAGAACTCGATCAACTTCCATCATGTACATTCCATCTGCAGAGAGATGTCCAATAACAATGTTATAAATGGTGCTAATTAAATAGTAGATGTAATCTTAGGTGTACCTAGTGCTGCCCACGAGCTCCTCAAAAGCCACCTTAAATGTCAGAAATCAAAATCTTTTTATCAATTTTTATCCTCACCATTTGCACCCCATGGAATCAAACACCGAGAGCAGTGAGCCATGTCAAAGGCCCTTGAAGGATATGGCATCTTTATAGTTCCCAGAACTCCAATAACAGCCGGCACACCTCTTTCCAAAGCAAATTGAACTTGTGCTTCGTGAGAGTCTCTTGGTGCAAATGACATTGTTAGAACATTCTTTTTGAATAGATATGCACCCAGACTTGCAACCTAAACACCATACCAGGGAAATAAATCAACTGCTACAAAATAATATGAAGCCGTCTAGTAAATATTTCATAAGGGAAGAACCAAAAAAAAAAACTGAGAATGCATATGAACTCTGCTGTCAGAGGAAGAGGTGCTCATAAATGTTAATGATCCACCCAGAAAACAAGATGAATACGTAAAAGGAAAAATGCTCAGAGTGGTTTCATGCACTAAAGTCAATCAAGAGTTTAGATCACTGAATAGTAGTCACGACTCACGATGAACAACTGAATGCATAGTTTCTTCAATGCTAATTTTTCAATTACATCAAATAGAATGTAAAATTTTACGAGAACATCACAGAAACAGAAACCTGATGTAAAATTTAACTTACCCCACATCCAGTATCTAATGCAGTTCTGACCATTCCATTGTCTATTGGAATCACAGATGCAAGTTGATTGATATATCTATCTGCTCCTTGAGGAAACTGTGTTCCTCCACCTGGGAACCTAAACACATTTCCCTCATATTGAATCCAGTTCTGTACAGCTTTCTCAACTGTCAAGCTTTTATAAGGAGCATTTGCATAGGGCACATAATCCCTACTCTTTGGCCATGGAAATGGAGTCGCATATCCTTTGGGTGCTGGAATAAGACAATGCAGCTTCTCTTCTTCAGGTGGACAATGTCGTTCCCTGTAGATCATATTTTCTCGAGGAAACGTCATTGCCCTCATTTGATCTTGACAGGGTGTGTAATCAGAATACTTATCATCACACGGTTGGAATTCTTTGGCTGCTGAGTCTGAACCATCAACCGTCACAGCATCACCACCAAGATGAGTCTCATAGTTAAGATTGGAAAGGACGCTGCAATCAGTTTGTCTGGTGATAGCTGAGGCTATCTTGTCACCCTTGCCAAAACCACTTCGCTGCCACGCGCCCAATATATAGAAGAAACAGCATAAACCAACCACTATAAAAATAGACACCGAGCCCCTGGTTTTCAGCTCCCCGGCGTTCCCTTTTGTTGCCATGATGCACCTTAAAACTGCTACCCAGAAAGGAAAAAAAAAAAAAAAAAAGAAAGATCAAAGATGAAAGTGATAATACAGATATTTTATATATATACACACACACACACACACACCTCCAAAAAAATCAAAGTGATCAAGTGGTTTGGACAAATTCAATGAAAGGCCAAAGCTTTAATGACATTCAATAGCAAAGGTTGAAGCTTTTGAATGAATCAAAGTTCACAATTATGACTAGTTCAACAATGCATTAAAACAAAACCAAACCCACTTTTAATTTTAGCAAAAAACCCAAGAAGAAAATGATTGAATCAACATGTTAGAAAGTAAAAATGTAAAGAGAAATGAGAAGTAAGGATCCAAAGTTCTTACAGATCACAAAAAGGAAGAAGAAAAAGGCAATGGCAGTTAGTGGAATCTAATTGTGATTAAATCATAATCATTGATTTTGTTTTGGATTATGACTTTGTCGCAGTGTGGGAGGAGATTCCTAAGATGACAAAAAGGAAGTTTTCAGATTTGGTTTTTGCTTGTAGTTTTGACTTTTGTGGGTAAATGTGGTTCGTCGAGAATCTTGCTCTGTTTTTCGTAGGAAACTAGGAGCTTTGTTCCTGTCCTTTGTCCAATCAGAATAAGCCACTTTTTTCCGTTTGAAAATAAAAAATCATATAAAATTTTTGCCATAAATAAGGTTAATTGTGGAGAGTGGGATTTGAACCCACGCCCTTTCGGACCAGAACCTTAATCTGGCGCCTTAGACCAACTCGGCCATCTCCACCTTTGATGAAAGATGTCGATAACTCCATTTGGATTTATATTATTACATAGCACTTTCACGTTGTTGCCCAATGACAATTCTCCGAAGAAGGCCAAAGTCAGAAACATAGGATTGTTAATCTTAAACATTTTAAGAAAGTTTTTCTGTTTCAAGTTTCAATACCCCAAAGGCTTATGTAAATGAGGTACATGTTGCATTCACGTCACACAATAAAAGCGAGGGACAAGTGACTGGCTACTCTTTCTCCTATATTCTCATGCACTGCCCAAGTAATTTGCCTCATCTTTAAGTTAAAATCTTTGTTTTAGATGTATTAGGCAAGGTGGTTTACCTGATTTATCAATTTCATTGTAGTTATCTAGTTGAAGAATTGGAGTACCACAGAGTAAGGCTTTTGTCCCAGTGAAGAAAAAGAACTTTAGCTATTTCATTGATTCACTACTAGAAAAAAAATGTGTTTTTGAGTCATCAACGAAAGATAAAGAGGACAGAACCAAAAATTATAGTACGCAAGATATTGATCTTAATGGTAATCTAGAGAACATTCATCATCATCCTGCATCGAGACCACTGTTTACTTAGGTGTCCTTGCCTAAACTTCCATTTCAAGCTGCTTCCATCTGTTTATCCGTCATAAAATATTTCAATTCATTGCTGTCATGCTGTACCCTCCCAGTAATTTCCAAGCACAAGCCATTGACAGGGCTCCTACTTGGCTGTTTACTCTTAGAAGGCTTCCTACTTGGAGCTGGATTTATAAAAACTGGTTGCAGTCTAAGGTTTGGATTAGGTTTAATCCTGTTCGCTTCCCTTTCATCTGGTGGTCGTAGAAGTATGCTGTTATCTGATTCTAGTTTTGAAACTTCATCTTCGTTCAATAGGACCTGCAAAAGTATAAATACCATATGTTTGAAGAGAAAAAAGAAAGAAGTGATATCTATTAATATCCAAAAACAATTAATGCACAAAAGAAATAATCAAAGCAGTTATAGCTACATGGCGGAGGCAAGAATCCTTCAAAAGAAGTCAGACGAAGTGAACTTTTCAAGCATTGAAGAAAATAGTGACTACAAGAAAATGCGTGACCGGGAGGTAGGGAAGAGTCAATGCCATTGAGATGCTAAGCAAAATGTTAGATTTGAAAATTTATCAGTAAAATGTCACCGTTCTGTGCCATGGTCATGCACCTTACAAGGAAAAAAATTGCAGGTAGAAATCAGGTCATTGGGAAGAGCTAATACCTTGCGTCCTACCAAATCAAAAGTCACAATCACTTTACTTCGTTTTAAGCGTTCAGCTTCTTCAATCTCCTCTTGTTTCTTCTTCAAAAGTTCCTTCTCCTGGTTGGAAAAAAAATGCAGTGAAAGTGAATTTCAAGCAAATTCATGCAGAACAAACCTCCAATCTCCAAGAATAAGAGTTTAGAAACAAGAGGTACCTCCTTTGACAGCCAGCTGTTACCCTCAATCTCATAGTAGTCACTTTGGTCATCAATAACTGTTGTACGTGCTGCAGAGTTTCTGTCATATTCAACAAGCCTTTTTGCATAAGCTTCAGCGGCTGCTTCAGCATCTGATACGGGTGTGAAGCTTCCTTCTAGACCAGCATATGTGCTCCCTTCTCTAAGCACCAGAGCACCACAGAAATTGCAAGGCCCCTCTCCCTCCTGCTCACAGACTATCTTACCACAGGAAAGACAATTACTTACCAGCCTGTGCTGACGAGCTTGGCATGAGCATGGTTTCCCCTGCTGGAAGACAATTAACCCTTTGGCTGCCTCAGCAAGTGAAACAACTTTGCCAGCTTTCTTCTTTTTAGAATTACCTTGGTTTCCTTTATGGGTATTTCTTGGATCACTAGCATCATTCAGGATTCTGTTTTCCTGATTACCAGAAATGACATTCTTCTTTGGTTCAGATTGAGAACTGGAGCCTGCTGCCTCTTTTGGAGTTTTAAATGGTTTCTTGGATCCACTGAGAGAGCTTTCACCTGAAGGTGGTTTGACATAGGCTTGAAGTTTTGAAGTTGGGATGGCGGCATTGCCAGTGCAGAGATCTGAGTGACCTCTCCGCCGCAAGTACTCTTCAGTCACACTTTTTCCTGCTTCCTGCCCAATAATATTCTGCAAAAGAATGCAAATTAACATATGGAATACTTGCTGTGGTTGCTCAGAAAACAACTGTCAATGTAGGTAAAGAATTAATGCAGTAGAAAATTTAACATAAAAGCATATATGTATAGTGATAAAATGGTAACCTCTTGAAAAAATCCAAGCCTACAATACACAAAATTAAACCTCATTCTTAGTCATAACTAAAAACCCTAAAAGGGACAAAAGGAAAAGAAAAGAAAAACACCATTATGATAAGAGTGAAGCTACTTCATATATTTTATATGGTATGATGATAATCACAACTCAGTAGTAAAAAAACCTGGAAGCCACAATATACATATTATTTGACAGGGGTCCTCATCTCAAAATCAGGCAGCATATTTTCTTAAAGAAATTAGGAAACTTGACATGCCATTCTATGCTAGTTTTTCACTTTAAAGATTGTACTATGGTGACATTCGAACATTTAACTCAATGATTAATGCATATGACCTGTTCAAAGAGCATAGCTCGAATCCCCTTCCTTAAAAAAAAAATTCTACTATAATATGATGGAGGGATAATCATTCATGATTGTCAATAATTCATCAATGGTTAAAACCCAAAAGGTCAATCATGATCAATTTCCTTGGTGCTAACCACATCTCTAATATCAACAAAACCCAATCACAGATCAACAGAAATCTTCAAAACAATCCCTTCTTTTAATTAAAAGCTAAAGAGAAATTAAAATAATAAACAAACAAAAAAAAACATAAACCCAAACTCGTAATTGGATCAGAAAAAAAAGATTCAAAAGAAAACAAGAGAGAGGAAAGAATTACGTCAAGATATTCTTTGGCATCAAGGGGCTGAGCCAGCTCGCAATATGAGACCAAACCAGATATGATTTCTCCATCCAAATCCAAACCCGTCTCTATTTTCTTACACAATTCCACCAAAGCCTTCTCCAACCATTCCCCTGGCGTCTCCATTCTTTTCCTCTCTCTCTCGGTCTATCGGTGCAGAGAAAACCTACTTGGGTTTCAATAGGCAAAAAGCAAGCTCTTCAAAACGAAGTTCAAAGACTAAAGCTGGAAATTTTATATGAATCTTGATAGCCGTTAGATTGAGAATACGAGGTGGGTCCCAATTTTAAGCTTACATGGCAAGATCTGAGTCGTTGACTGGGTGATACTCTGAAAATCCAGTTACCTTCCCTTCGCTAGCATTTTTCTCCATTTCTAAAACCCTAGAGCAAAACACCACAGTAATTCAAATTGGAGATTAATCTCTTCTGGGATACTTTCTTTTGAGATTTCATTTCATTGCATCAACTTTTTTTTTCTGGGCACTTTCAGGTATTTTTTTTTTCTAATGTTTGTAACATTTTCTTTGTAGCCTCTGCTGCTATGAAGTGCTTATGGCATCAGTGCTTTTGTTTGGTTGCTGAGAAAATGGAAGAAAAGAAGAGAAATTTGTGAACCCATTTGCCTATTTTACTTGTTTCCATTATTATCCTAGATATTGCTTTAATGGAGTTGATTTTTTTTATGTGCCAAATATTGAAGTTTCGAGCTTTTCATTACTGAAAGGAGTATCTGATATTGCAGACAAAATGATCGTAACTTTGTGGGTTATTTTTTTCTGGTTTTAGGATAAATGGAAGTTCAAAGTGAGAAGAAAAGCAAAACACCTTCAAATTTCAATTGATTTAATAGGCTTTAATGAGTTTATACGGTGTTAGATCTTTGGTTTTGGAATGAGTCCTGCTTTACATCCTAAACATGTAGCCGCAGTTGTAAAATACCAAAGAGATTCGCTCAAAGCGCTTGAAATGTTCAATGCGGTAAAGAAAGAAGATGGGTTCAAGCACACTTTGTTAACCTATAAGTGCATGATTGAGAAGCTTGGGTTTCACGGGGAATTTGAGGCTATGGAGAATGTACTCCTAGAGATGAGACTGAATGTAGATAACAGGCTGCTTGAGGGAGTTTATATTGGATGCATGAGAAATTATGGACGCAAGCAGAAAGTTCAAGAGGCTATTGACGTGTTTGAGAGGATGGATTTTTATAATTGCGAGCCAACAGTTCTATCATATAATGCAATCATGAATATTTTGGTTGAATATGGACATTTTAATCAAGCACACAAGGTGTATATGAGAATGAGAGACAAAGGGGTTCTTCCCGATGTGTACACTTTCACCATTAGGATAAAGTCATTTTGTAGGACAAAGAGGCCTCATGCCGCTTTGAGGCTTCTTAGAAACATGCCTTTGCAAGGATGTGAGATAAATGCAGTTGCTTATTGTACAGTAGTTGGAGGGTTTTTTGAAGAGAACCATCATATTGAGGCATATGAGTTGTTTGATGAGATGCTTAGGCTAAGAATTTCTCCAAATATCACTGCATTTAATAAACTTATACATATTCTCTGTAAGAAGGGGGATGTTCAAGAAAGTGAAAAGCTGCTGAATAAGGTTATGAAGAGGGGAGTATCTCCAAATTTGTTTACAGTCAATATCTTTATCCAAGGGCTTTGTAGAAAAGGTGCACTCAATGAAGCTGTTAGTCTATTGAGCAGTGTGACTAGGGAAGGTCTGAAACCAGATGTTGTTACGTACAATACCTTAATATATGGTTTGTGTAAGAGTGCCAAGGTTGCTGAAGCTGAAATATTTTTGCATAAAATGGTGAATGAAGGTTTGGAGCCTGATGGTTTTACCTACAATGCTGTAATTGATGGATATTGCAAATTGGGTATGGTACAAAAAGCCGATAAGATTCTTAATGATGCGATTTTCAAGGGTTTTATTCCTGATGAGTTCACGTATTGTTGCTTAATTAACGGGTTATGCCAGGATGGTGAGACAGACCGAGCTATGGCTGTATTTAATGAGGCTTTGGGAAAAGGATTAAAGCCTAATATTATTGTGTATAACACCCTTATCAAAGGGTTGTCTCTGCAGGGACTCATTTTGCAAGCCTTGCATCTGCTGAATGAGATGTCAGAAAATGGTTGCAGTCCCAACATATGGACTTACAATATAGTTATAAATGGATTATGCAAGATGGGGTGTGTCTCTGATGCTAATAATTTGCTGAATGATGTGATTGCCAAAGGCTACCTTCCTGACATTTTTACATTTAATACTTTGATTGACGGTTACTGTAAGCAGTTGAAAATGGAAAATGCAATTGAGATTCTAAATCAAATGTGGAGCTATGGTGTTAGTCCTGATGTTATCACATATAACTCAGTGCTGAATGGCCTCTGCAAAACTTCTAAGTCAGAAGATGTGATGGAAACTTTTAAAGCCATGATGGAGAAGGGGTGCATTCCCAATGTAATCACATACAATATACTTGTAGACAGCCTCTGTAAAGCTCGGAAAGTTAATGAAGCATTGAACTTGCTTGAGGAAATGGAAAAAAAGGGTCTTGCTCCAGATACTGTTAGTTTTGGTACACTGATCCATGGCTTTTGCAATAATGGAGACTTGGATGGAGCATACCGGCTGTTTAGAAGAATGGGACAAAGATACAAGGTTTTTCATACAACAGCAACATACAATATTATGATTAATGCTTTCTCTGATAAGCTAAAGATTAATATGGCTGAAAAGCTTTTCCATGAAATGGGTGTAAATGGCTGTACCCCAGACAGTTACACTTACCGTGTCATGATTGATGGCTTCTGCAAAACAGGAACAGTTGATTCTGGTTATGATTTCCTTCTGGAAATGGTTGAGAAAGGGTTCATTCCATCTTTAACAACATTTGGACGGGTTATAAACTGTCTTTGTGTAGAGAAAAGAGTTCATAATGCAGTTGATCTCATCCATCTGATGGTAGGAAAAGGCATAGTTCCTGAGGTTGTGAACGCAATTTTTGAGTCAGATAAAAGGGATGTTGCTGCTCCTAAGATCGTTGTAGAAGATTTGTTGAAAAAGGGCCATATAACTTATTATGCTTATGATCTCCTTCATGATGGAGTTAGAGATAAGAAACTACTAAGGAAGCTTCAAAGTAGATAATGTCATGACTCAAAGAGGGATTTGTATTATTTTGATCAATCAGTTTCGGATTTAGAAAGTGGAAAGGTTTGTTTGATAGTGGAAGCTGGTGGCATCTGAAAAGATGTTAATGAAGGAGCATGCAATATTCTGCTTCAATTCCTTCCATTCTTGCCTCAAGCTTTGAATATCTTTCTCAGCCAAGGTAATAGCATGTTAATTTAAAAGGATTTTGTTGACATCAACTCCTTTTAAGATACTGTTTTCTGTCTATTCACACACGTTTTGTATTTCAAATCTAGAACTTGGTCTTATTTGAAGTTTCTCAAAGTCAAGAATAGGAATTCTGCATGATATCATTGGCAGTTTGATTCTAGTTCGAACATTCTAAACCTTCATGAGACATTGGTGCATTTGTTGTCAGACATTGTGAAAATGTTTAGACCGTCATTGAGCTTGTAAAAGTTCCAGGAGCAAGTTCCTTACATAGATTGTCATAGAATGTGATGGTAATGAATTTGACTGCATGCAAAGCATTTTCCTCCCAAAACCTTGCTATATTTTCCTTATTTTAGTTTAAGACTTTAAGTTTAAAAGTTAATAAAATCAGATAGGCCCTATTTTGATAAATTAGCTGTAGGCCTGTAGTACATTGCTGTACTGTTGTAAATGCTGGTTTAGTTTCTTAGATTTTCCTAATTTCTGAATCCTGCTAGCAAGCTGCTAATATCTGTCTGTACATTTGCTTGAGTTTATAGAAGATTGAAATAGCATCATCTTTCTTGTAATAGATTCACTTAAATATCATGAATTGACTTGCATTATATTCTTACAAACTGTTCAATGCCTTGGTTCCAGGTAAAGAGTAAATATGCTATGCAGCTATCATGACCCTGGATTGTATGCCAGTGAAAGTAAAGAAGGAAAACTGCTTCCTTCAAGTTTGTACTCTTTGTACACGATCTTCTCTGATCATTTCCTAGTGAATTGGACTTGGAGAAACTGAGGCTCTCGAAAAAAGGATTCAGAGCTCGCAGATGAAGATACACCGAAAAGTGGAGAATAGAGGCTTTCTTTTTCTATCTGTTTTGTTAGTTCATTTTTAGTCACAAGAAAAAAAATTTTTAAGCCATTATAAAGTGCATTACAATAATAAAGATATTGTGTGGGCTAAGGAAAAATTGAAAGTGCATCCTATGTGATAACGGCTTTGTACAATGTTTTGTTTGCACCAAAAGGAATGAAGGATTAAAATGAACAAAAATTCATTACCAAAGATGTCAAGTGAGTCAGTGTTCTTCATATCAGCTACTTCATACAATGGCAAGAATCATAAAGGAGTTGTTCCAAGTCAAAATATTAAAATTCTCATGACCAAAAAAAAAAAAAAAACCTGACAACTTGGTCGATGAGATGCTTTAATATGAAATAATAATTCTTAAGGATCTACAATTTGTAGTGTTTGACGTGACGATAGATAAAAAAAGTAGAATTATTTGTCAATAATAATAACAGTTGAGGTCGTTTTTTGTTATATTTTTGTTTTTAATTTTTTTTGAAAACTAAAGTAAAAACATTTGCAAAAAAAAAAAAAAAAAACATATGCGATCCGTGTGTTTCATTTTAAGAAAAAAAACAAAACAAAACACAATATTTTAGGGATGGTTGAAAATACAAAAATGATGTAACCAAGTTTTGGCAAGAGTTTTTATTGTACCGCACAAGTATTGTTCATCCGTTCCCCTACAGTGTCAACTTTAAAGTTGGAAAATAAAAAATTCACGGAAATTTACTAATAAAAGGATTTGAACTCCTGCCATCTTAAAATTTAAAGCTACTGTTTCGATTTTGAGTACATTTTGAAAACAACAGAGAAGTCTCAACTGGAAGATCAAAGATCAACCCAGTTTTAAGAGTGTAACAGTGCATCTGCCTCCCCAGCACCAGGTTTATGCATTCTATCACATTAAAGACACTAAAACTCCAAAGATCTCACACCCCCTTTTAACGTTGTCTGTAACAATGCAATTACCCATTGACAACTCTGTTTCTGATCAAAAGAACAAATCAACACGGCCCATGTATCTGGACTCCTTATGCTTTCCCACCGTTTCAGCCAAACCAATTACTCCTTTTTTTGAATACGTCTTTAGCAAAGCAGCTTGTATCACTGAATCCATATAAACTCCACTCTTCATAATCCATGAATGGTTTTGTGTTGCCTCTTCAATCATGTTTAGTTTAGCACAAGCAGAAGTTAACACAGATAGCAGTGTAGTTGTTTATTTCCACTTTCATATATCTCATTTCTTTAAAAAACTTGAGGGCATCGAGACAACCATCCTTCTGCACAAATCCAGAAATGATAGCAGTCCAAGAAACCATGTTTAGAGTAAGCATCCATGAAAACATCTTCACAGCTTCATCCACGTCTCCGCACTTGACATTCAAGTCAATCAAGGAAGTTCCCACAAAGACATCTACCGCACCACATGCAATGATCCACCCCTGAACTTCTTTTCCAATCTCAAGGTCTTTGACTGCAGCACAAGCAGGTAAAACAGTAGGGAACGTAAAACTGTTTGGCATCAAAAACTACTTTCCCATTTGAACAAAAAGATCCAACGCAACTCAATTTTCCTCATTCTTGACAGCTGCATATATAATAGCATTCCAACAAACATTCACACAACTTGAAACATCATAAAACGCCCTCAAGGTATCCCTCAGACAAATTATTTTTTTGCGAACAAATCAATTATTCCAGTACGAACATATCCATTACAAACAAACCCATTTTTTATTGTAACTGAATAAACCTGCTTGCCAAAGCTAGTACTTTGCATAGCAACACCAGCTGAAAGCACACTATTATAACTAATCTCATCAGGTTCAAATCCCGAAGCCCACACTTTACAAAACCATAACCAAGAACCCCAAAACAAACTGTTTTAATTATAACCAGGAGTCATAGTATTCCATGAAATTACGTTTGGTTCAGGCAATTTATCAAACAACTTGACTGCTTCTTCCATTGAACCACATTCGCAGTACCCATCAGGCAAAAATTTTGCAGCAAAATACTGCATTGCAGTTTAAAGCAAATGGGTATATAAACGTTTGGTGCTTTTGATAGTATAGTTTCTTGATCCTCTGTAATCAATGAAAAAGTTAGAAGCATTAGAAAAAGTTGGATTTTTTCCATCATTTTCTAATCTCTAAATAGATGGGTTTTCAATTGCAGCAAGAGTTGAATAAGAGATTCGGGCTTGGATTTTTTCTATTGAAAGAGAATGCATTCCAGAGGCGTGAAATACGAAGCATAAAAAAACTCAAACTTGAAGTCTCTATTTTATGATTTTAAAGCCCTTAAATGTCCAGAAATGTCAAGATGGCCGAGTTGGTCTAAGGCGCCAGTTTCAGGTACTGGTCCGAAAGGGCATGGGTTCGAATCCCATTCTTGACAAGCCGAAATTTTTACTTTTATTTTTTTCTAATTTAAATCGTCCACTTATTGTATACGACATACAAAGTGTAAAAGTCATGTCAATTCTAGGAAAACAAAGAATCCAAGGGACTTCGTAATTCTCTCTTTATAATAGTCTATATATATAGTTTTTGTTAGGCTTGAAGTAATAATTACAATAATATATAAATAATATATTGTAATAAATTTACAGTAATAAATAATTAATAATTAAAAATATAAAAAAATAAAGTATACCAAAATTTACATAAAAAACTATTTAATATAAAGAAAAAAATTACGGATCACCAGAAAAATCTTCACTATTAAATAATAGATATATAAAATTTTTCTCTAACTAAAATTAGAGCTAATCAACAACTAAATAGACAATTGAAGAAATCTCACCGAATAGGTGATTCAACAAATACACTCTTGATTTGTTCTTAAATAGCTTCAAACCCGATCTGCACCATTCAAAATGTAAAATTTTGAATCATAAACCTGCTAATAAAATTTCAGCTCAATTGGACCATGAATGAAATTTCGTTTAATCAACTCTCCCTTGTCATTTTTTTCTCTATCTTTCTGGCTTTTCTTCTTTTCTTGGTTTTGCGACACCACCTTAAAACTACCCCACCTCTTTTTATTAAGTAGCTAGGGCATTGTGCAAAAAGAAAAACCAAAGCCCATGGCTTTTGATTGGTCCAAAACCAATTAAATAGGGTTGAACCCCATATTCCTAACAATCTTCCCATTCAGTCCTATTAGGAGGAGATTCATTACCATAACAGTTTCATTTGAAACTTACCTTGGCGAAAGAATTTATTCAAGCCAAGTTATTGCAGAGTTCAACCTTTTTTTTAAGAAGTATCTTAGTCAACATATCTGTTATATTCTCATCAATATGGATTTTCTTTAATAGCATATGTTGTTCCTCAATCATTGAATGTAACAAGTGATATCTAACATCAATATGTCTTGTTCTAGCATGGTACAAAGCATTCTTACTCAAATCTAAAGCACTCTGGCTATCACAAAATATCACATACTCTTTTCGATTCAATCATAATTCAATAAGAAAACACTTCATCCAAAGTATTTTTTTACCTGCTTCGGTTGCTGTAATATACTCAGCCTCTGTAGTTGACAAAGTAACACACTTATATAACTTAGACTACTAAGACACAGCTTATCTTACAAAAGTAAATAAATACCCTAAAGTAAATTTTCTACCATTAAGATCAGCTGCTATGTCATTATCAGTAAACCTTTCTAGAACTGATTGTGAAACTCCATAATTCAAGCACATTTTTAAGATGTCCCTTAAATATATAAAAATTTATTTCACTGCTTCCCAGTGAACCTTTTTCTAATTAGAAAGAAATCTGCTCACTATACCAACTGCATGAGCAATGTTAGGTAATGTACAAATCATAAGATACATTAAAGAATCGACTACAGAAGAATAAAAAATACTAGATATAGCTAGTTGCTCTTCTTTAGACATCGAACAAGATTTCTTACTCAGATAAAAATGGTTGGCAAGTGGATTGCTAACTGATTTAGCATGTTGCATGTTAAATTTATTAAGCACCCATTCAACATACTTTTCATATGACAACCATAGCTTTTCAGCTTTTCTATTTCGAATAATATCCATATCGAGAATCTACTTTGCTAAACTTAAATCTTTCATATCAAAGGACTTAGATAATTATTTTTTCAACCTGCAAATCATACCAGCATCTTGTCTCACAATCAACATATCATCAACATATAATAAAAGAATAATGAAGTTACCATCAAAAAATTTTTTGATATACATACAAGGATTCAATACAGTTCTTTTATAATTATGGTTCACCATAAAAGAATTAAACTTTTTGTACCATTATCGCGGAGTTTGTTTCAAGCCATACAAGCTTTTATTCAGTTTGCAAACTAAGTGCTATTTCCCTTTCACTTTAAAACCTTCAGGCTGATTCATATAAATATCCTCATGTAAGTTACCATGCAAGAATACAGTTTTAATATTAAGTTGCTCAAGGTCAAGATTTAAACTAGTTACTAATCCTAGTACCACTTGAATGAAACTCATCTTCACAACTGGAGTGAAGATCTCATCAAAATCGATGCCTGATGTTCGAGAAAAACCTTTCACCACCAATCGAGCTTTGTACTTCACTAGCTTGTCGTCATCCTTTTTCAACTTGAACACCCATTTATTTTTCAAAGATCTTCTCTATTTTAAAATTTTAATAAGATCATATGTATTATTTTTCGTAACGACTCAATCTCTTCTTTTATTACTTTTAACAGTGCTCTCTATCTAGAGTAATCTGTACATCTTGAAAGCTCTCTGGCTCCTTCTTACAAGTAACTAAAATAAAATCTAAACTTGAATACCTAATAAATAGTCGGTGTTTTCTAGTAGATCTCCTAGGCTGAGACTCTATATCATCTAATGTCGAAAATAGCTCATTTTGCTCAACACTTTTTAGTAGAAAGGATTGCTCTCCTTGCTCAAAACTGATTACATCTAGCTCATCACTAAATGTGACTAGCTCATTCATATCCTCAAGTTCTATTTTTTGTTCATTTTTATTATCTGTGACTTTTTCCTGTGAAACCTCTGTCAGTGTTGAAACATTACACTGAACAGTAATCCGTGTAGTTTTTTCATTTTTTTCAAGGTTTGCTATAGTTTTTTTCATGAAAGACAACATCTCTGCTTCTGACTGTCTTTCTCTTCACTGGATCTCATACCCTGTAGTTAAATTCTTTATCACCATATCCTACAAATACACATTGTGTGGCTTTACTATCAAGCCTTGACCTCTATTCTTTCAGCACATGCATAAATGCTTTACATTCAAAAACTTTCAAGTGATAATATGAAGCATCTTTCTCTGTTCATACTTTTTCTGGAATGTCAAAGCCCAAAGAAACTTATAGTGATCTGTTAAGCAAATAACAAGTTGTGTTGACTGCTTCACCTCAGAATGGCTTTGGTAATTTTGTCATTTTCAACATACATTTGATTTTTTTCATAATTATCCGATTCATCTTTTTAACTACACTATTATGGTACAATGTTCTAGGTTCTGTTATCTTATGCCTGATCTCGTGCTTTGAATAATACTCTTCAAAGTTTTTGGATGTGTATTTTCCACCATTATCAGTCTAAATGCATTTCAAGGGTAATCATATTATCTTTTTCACCATGACATGAAATTTTTAAAAATACTACAATACTTTACTTTTATTTTTCAATATATACACTCAAATTTTACGTAAAGCATAATTAATAAAAGTAATAAAATATCTACTATCACATAATGACTCAACTTCAATGGAACCACATACGACAGAATAAATCAATTTCAATCTATTTTTTTTCTCTGAAAACTCTTACGAAAAGAAACTCTACGATGCTTACCACACAAACAATAATCATATGAATCGAGAGACATCTTTGGTCAAAAAAATGAGAAACTACCTTGTCAAAACTTATAACCTTTCTCACTCGTGTGTGCCAGTCTTTTGTGTCATAAGTTTGCTAAAGCATCATCCTTAATGGTATTTATCTGGTTACCGTTCAATTGCATCCATGTCTTATACATTATGTAATATAGTTTTCTCCTTGTAACTATCATAAATCTTTTGAGCAGCTTCTACTACCCATTCTTTTATTAACTCTCATATCATTCGTTATCAAGGACATTAATAGTAAGCAAGTTAATTTTCATATTCGAAATGTGTTTGACATTTCTTAAAGTCAACATGCAACATGTACTAGTTTGTATAATAATATCACTAATCTCAATCTGTGACACACTCTTGTTTCTCATCTTGGTGCAACCAAAGTCTCTTACTTTGTAAGTTATAAATAACTTTCTCTTAAAAATACAATTATATGCCACTTTTGTGTCAACTATCCATTCAATGTCGGGATGGCCAACATGATTACAATCACCATGTGTACAAATCAAAGTAATTAAATCACTATCTGAATTTATTGCTATAATATTGCTATTATCTGAACTCTTACCTTTCTCATCTTTTTGCTTTTACTTCAAGATTTTACAGTATTATTTTATATGACCTGTTTTATCATAATGAAAACACTTCACTTTATCTTTAGACTTGGATTTATATTTAGACTTACTACGACCTTTTAAAGTTTGACCTCTGTCAATGTTTTTACCCTCATTTTTTACAACAAAAACTTGATTTTCAGGATCTACATCTTTTCGCCTTATTTTTTCATTAAGCATATTATCTTTTACTATTTTCAATGTCACCATGTAATCAGGAACTAAATTAAGAACAATCACAACTAAAGTATTTCAACTATCTGACAATGAACTTAAAAAAAAATAATGCCTTCATTTTTTCATCCATCTTAAGCTCCATAATAGTCATTTGATTAAATATATTTTGAAAATCACTCAAGTGCTCTGTAATTAATCGTCTATCCCTATATTGTAAAGTTGTAAGCTTTTTAACAAGTATAGCTTTTTTATACATGTTTTTCTCTTATACAATATTGTCAATTTTTTTCAAATAATGTGGGCATCTGCCTCCTGCATTACATAATGGAATACGCTGATATCAACTCATTTTTTAATTGTAGCCAACGTCTTTTTGCCTAATTTCTTTCAGCTTTTATCTTTCATATCTCTGGTTTAGGCGAATCACCCAATACCGAAACTTTTTTTATACATGTTTTTCTCTTATACAATGTTGTCAATTTTTTTCAAACAATGTGGGCATCTGCCTCATACGTTACATGATGAAACACGCTGATATCAACTCATTTTTTTATTATAGCAAGCGTCTTTTTACC